GGGCCTGGAAGGACCGGATGTGCCGTTTTACGAACCAATCCTTTTTCCGAGGTGAAATTTTGGGTCAGGCAGAGATTTTCTAATCCTTATTTTTCAAATTTCAAGATCTAGAATTTGAAATTTGCAATACTGCCGTTTCGGTTCGTTCCCAAGCCATTTAATGGTATGCAGTAGACAGTGGCCAATCGGGGCAACCAGCCAGCCGGTCGATCCGGAACGGCCATCTGGCCCCTATTTATTGGCCTCTCGCCGAGACGTTTAAGGGGAGATGGAAAGGGTAATTTGAGACGAAGATGAAGCTGCTTTGTTGTAGTTTAGGCTTAGGCTTCGGTTTAGCTTAGGCTTAAGGCTTAGGTTTAGATTTAGGCTTAGGGTCAAACGTAGGGTTGGGTTTAGGTTTAGGATTCGGCATAGTCTTAGACTTTTCAGCTTGGTTTAGGCTGATTAGGTTAGGCTTGGACTTGTCCTTGGGCTTAGGCTTAGCTTACAAGGAGTGTCCTTTTGGTGTCATCGGCAAACGATTCGAGACCCAGCTCATTCGATAGAGAATTGAATTCTGAACAAGACTGTGTTGTTCATTTTTGCGGAATGGCTGTCCCTGATTTTATAAAATTAAAAAACTGCCGGCGACGCCCATACATTGGTGCTTGGGGAGCGGTTGTTAAGGTTTCGCGCTTGGTTTTTAATTCTATAAATCAGGGACAACAATTCCGCAAAAATAACAACACAGTCTTGTTCAGATTCAATTCTCATCGAATGGCTGGGTCTCGAATTGTTTTGCCGTGCCGGACCTCCTTGTTAGCTGTTAGGCTTAGACTTGCACTTGCCTGGCAGCCTCCAACCACTCCGAGGCTTAAGCTTCTTAAGCTTTTCCTCAGACCGAGGTCCGACGTAGACCTAGCTCAAGCTTAGGCTTATGCTCCTCGCCGCCTCCTGCTCCTATGTCACATGTCAGACACCCCTCCTTCACCCGCTGCTTCTCATATCGCGAGAGCGACTAGCCGATGCGAAAATGGCTTCTCCTCTTCTGGTCTTTCGCCTATTTGTATGTTCCCCCTGACGAAGAAGTGGCACGACATGTCGGCCCGGGAGTTGAGGCTCAAATTTCGCTGCCGCCCCGGATGCACCCTCGCAGGGGCGGAATTTGCAGAAAATGGCAGAAAGTGGCTTGAAATAGGCGGCGTAAAAGTTTTTAAAGCTAGTTGGCTAGGGAGTGATGATAGAGAGCGGTAGAGCGCGAGAGTGAGAGAGAGAGAGTAGGAGAGAGCGAAAACGCGGGAGATACAAAAATAGTTCGTTCTCAATAAACTGACTCATATCTTCTATGGCCTCAAATACCTCAATTCCCTCGATTCAAGATTTTGAATCCTTTCCTATGAGTATTTCGGCGAAGAGCGGAAAGAAACGGAATGTGATTGGGCATTCATTTTGACGTGCCAAACCATGGAAGCAATGTTTTGAAAGGAGCCTTGGGATAAGACTTTTTGCTTTTTCTAGGTAAACAAGATTTTGACATAGTTAATTCATAATCTTAACATTTTTTGCTATTTGTTTTTATGGTTTTCTCATGCGTTTTCTCTCCTACTTTTTTTCTTTCCCATCTCTTCGTATTTTCTCTTCCATACGCTGTTTTTTCCGCTATTTTCCATTAGACGATCTGTCCCCTCAGCCTCCCATGCAGTCAATCTACCCCTCCACCCCTTCGGTGTAATTGAGTAATGGGCGGGCGCGGCAGCGGCAGGTGTCTCCGCGCTCCCCTAAAAACGGCTATGTAGCCCGGAAAATAATCCAGATTTTTGGGGGTATTTTTGGAGTTAATGGCTTGAAGCTTAAGCCAAACCTAAGCTAAGCTTAAGCAAAGTCTAAGCTAAGCCTCAGCTAAGTCTAAGCTAAGCCTAAGCTAAGTTTAAGCTAAGCCTAAGCTAAGTCTAAGCTAAGCCTAAGCTAAGTCTAAGCTAAGCCTAAGCTAAGCCAAAGCTTTGCCTGCGCTAAGCCTAAGCCAAAGCCAAGCTATTATTGTGCTTACGCTCAATTTTTCAAACTTCCTTATCCGACATTCCAGCTGTCACGATCCCTTTAAACCCCAAAACCCCCAACCCATTAGTCTTCAAAGAGTAAGTCCCACTCCCCCTCCCGCCTCTCCATTAAGTTCCGGGACAAGAAGCGATGACGACGGGCTGTTTTCCGTTTTGCTCGCTTTCTCTCGGCCCTCTCAAACTCTCGTGCTCTCTCGCCGCCGTCCTCTCTAATTTCCCCATTCGAATCGAGTCGTGGGTCTCTGAGGGCCCTGACAAGACTCGCACAGCAGAAAATGGAGCCCCACCAAAGGCCCCCCCGGAAAGCCATAAGGACCCCCAAAGGGGCAAGTCGAGGCTTTTCATAGCGTTGTTGTGTTAGGAGGTTTAGGCATTTTTGGGGGAGTTGTTCGTGGGTTTCTGGCTTTTCGGGCTTTTTGTTTCGCTCTCTCTCGCTCGCTCGCTCTCTGTCTCTCTCTCGCTCTCTCTCTCTGTGAATCTCTCGTTGTAACGTTTATCGTTCCGCTTCTCTCGCACTATCTGTGTATCTCTCTCTCTCTCTCCCTCATTCTCTCTCGCCCCTCCGTCATGCTAGCAAACATCCTTTCGGCGGGCTAGGTAAGCTAGCCGATACTCCTTAAAATCGGCCCATTTTCTCGTCCCTAAGCTCTCTGACTTCCATTTTTTCCTCAATCCTCTGGGATCCTTGAGGTCTCCCCTCCCTTTCGCTAATCCCGATTTCGAAAAGTAAAATTTCCACTCGGCATCGCGGCATTTTCGCTACAGCCCGTCAACGGGGTGGAATTCGGATTACTGCCCTGTTCCGGCACTCAAAACGAGCAGTTTTTCTGGGTTGCGCAGATTTTCGTTGGACCTCTCTCTCTCTCTCTCTCTCTCTCTCTCTCTCTCTCTCTCTCTCTCTCTTTCTCTCACCTTCAAACCTCTACAAAATTCGCTAAACTCCTCGCAACACCTCTGTACGAACCTATGTAGACAGGTGCATTTCGGAACCCACGAAAAACACTCTCAAAAGCGTTCCGCATCCTTTCTGTTCATTTTTCGGCGCCTTCTAAACAACACCTGACCCTCTCGGGTTTGCGGGTGGTGTTGTTTTCCTTGTCGTTTGACATTTCGAGCATCAGTATCTCTCTCCCCTCTATATCCCGCTATCTATCGCTCCCGCTCTCTCTCTCTCTCTCTCTCTCTCTCTCTCTCTCTCTCTCTCTCTCTCTCTTAAGCCTAAACCTAAACCTAAACCTAGACCTAAGCCTAAGCCTAAGCCTATGCCCAGGCTGAAGCCTAATAAGCGGAAATCGCGTCTCTCTCGCTCTCTCTCCCTCTCTCTCTATCGCTCCCTCTCTCGCTCTCTCTCCCTCTCTCTCTATCGCTCCCCCTATCGCTCTCTCTGCCTTCCTCTCCTTTACCAAACCCATCATCAAAACTTGAAGCCTTCCAGGGATCTGAAACTTCAAAGATTCCCAGAAAAATAAAAGCCAAGCGTCTATTCGTCAGTGTGTCATGGATGTGTCCCTCGAGGCCGCTACTATCTTATCTTTTCCTCGACTTTTCCGGGCCTCCCCCCATTCCTTTTTCCGCGTGTGAAGACAGCCATTCCAGGCTTCTTCTTCCCCAGAGAAGGCTTTTCACTGCTAAATGTATTCCCCCGGAAACGAGCGCGGCATAGGGGCGGGTCTTTGTTTCCTGGTTCCTTAGGACTGGTTAGCTTTTTGCAGTATCAGTTTGTGCTCTTATTTCAACTACGATTCATGCCACTTTCCCTGATTTATTAAGACATCAAGTTCAAGCAGTTCAAGCTCAACCCTAAAATCGACGGCAAGGAGATCACGCTCTAATACGTCAGCATCTCGTGCTCTGATCTGATTAGATACGGTTTAGGCTCCTTTGAACCTCTAGAGATCGAGTTCAAGGAGTTCAAACGTTTACATCTGGTCTAAAGCCAAAGCTTTGGCTTAAGAAGTTGAATTGGGAGCTGAAGTTGGAGATGTTCGGACGAGTTTAAGGCACCTGGCAGGCCAAGTTCAAGGAGTTCCGGCTTCCGAACTACTGGTAAACCCTAAGCCGAAGCAGCTAGACTACTTCAATTGCTCAAGTTCAAGTCGTTCAGGTCTAGCAATTGGTGTAAAACACAGGGCCAAATAAGCTCAATTATTACGAGGGCAAGTTCAAAACGTTCAGTCTTCAGACACACCGCCCGACTTATTACAAAAGCCTAGGCGGGACGAAGCGACTTCGTTGGCTCATTTTCAGGAGGTTCAGACGAGGCCAGCCGTTTCAGTTTAGTTTAAATCGAAAACGACTAATCGACGTTCCCAACTCAAACTCAAGCAGTTCAGGCTTGATGGGTTCAAAATGTCAATTTTTAATTCTCATCGGCTTTCGGTCGATCTCATTTCACATCCCATTACCGGGAAAGGCCAACTACAGAGCGCCTTCCCATTTTGGGGCCGCCATCAAAAAGCCCGGACCAGAGCGAAGGGGCGTAAAAGCGGAAAATGGGGCTTTTGGCTGGATGGGGCTGGTCCGAAAATGAGCAGCGGCGACGCATTCGTCAGCGCCAGAATTTCGGGCCCCTCACAACATTTTGGATGCCAAGGGTACACGGGGGAAATTAAAATAGTCCATTAATGTGCTGCCGTTTCGTATAACCTTAAAAAATTCCAGTCATTTTGTATCCTCCATTGATACGAAGTGTGTACTTTTCTACGCATTGTCTGGTCTCTCTCTCCCCCGATTTCTCCCGCTCCCGCTCTCTCGCTTTCTCTCGTTCCCGCTCTCTCGCTATCTCTGTCTCGCTCTCTCTCTTTCTCTCTCACTATCCTCACGCTCTCTCTCTCTCTCTCTCTCTCATTCTCTCCCTCCCTCCCTCTCTCGTCATATCCTATTAATGCGCCAATTTAGAGCCACTACCCACCCCCCGTCCGCGCAGAATGCTCTGATCCTGGCCCATTTTCCCGGCGGCCCAGGATGGACGGTGTGGCCCAGATGGCCCACCAAAAGGGCCCAGCCTCCAACCACTCAGCCATCTCATACCATTCAGGTAAGCATCGGTCCTTAATGCGTACATACTCGGGGTATTTTGCCCTCTCTTTTCTACTGAGATCTAGGAAATTGCTTCTTGGAAGTTCTCTCTATTTTTTGTACTTACCGGATCCGCAAAAACGCTTCTCATTTCTTTATTTTAGGCCACTAGCAAGCATGCTCAAATTGGGATTCTACCGCACCGCAAAAAGACCCACGTAAAATTTGAATTCTGCACCTGCCAGGGGTGATTTTCCCACGCGTAGGGCATAAAGTGGCCTTTGAAGCTGCCGATCGGTTCAAAAACGTTAAATTTGCAATTTGCATAGAAAATCTTTCACAGCAGCGTAACGCTAAAAAGTTGATTTGCCTAAAAGCGCTTCAAATCTCCGTCACTCTCTCTCGCTCTCTCTCGCTCTCTCTCTCTCTCTCTCCCTATCTATCTATCTATCGCTCCCCATTTGGCATGAGCTGTTCCTCAAATTCTCGAGATCAGCTTCTCAAGCTCAACTTTTTCAGCGGCTCCAGCCATCTCTTTTTTCTGAGTCCCATGTGGACGGGGTGTCGGAGGGGGAGCAGTGATTCCTTGGGGTTCGAATAGGGGGTGGAAGGAGAATGAGAAGGGAGAGGGAGAGGGGGAATCGAATTCGAGCGCTTCCCTCTAGCCAGCTGCCATTTCTCCTTGAAGCTGTCGGGAAGCAAGAAAGAAAAGAAAGGAGGAGGAGAAGGAGAGGAGGGGGAGCAGGAGATGGACTCTAAAACAACCTACGCATCTTCCGACTTTTTCTTTTTATTCTGATTTTTCCTGATTATATTAGTCATCGGACTTAAATCATGGAGAGAGAGAGAGAGAGAGAGAGAGAGAGAGAAAAAAAAATTCCTAAACTTTTCATTTCAGAGGAAAGCAGCCCCTTCTCGAGCTATGACGCCACAATCCCGGTGATGGAGACGAGCGGGCAGGACGTGCTCGAGCTGGAGATGAACCACGACGGCGGTAGGGTCACTTGGAACCACGAAACCCCCATGAATTTAGAATACCTAGACACCCGGGAATTCGGGCGTGCGGATTACCAGGGTCCCACGGCCGGGTATAGCGATCAGTTCACAGGTGGGAGGCGAGAGAGAGAGCAAGAGAGAGAGAGAGAGAGAGAGAGAGAGAGAGAGAGAGAGAGGGAGAGAGAGAGAGAGAGCTAAAAAAAACTTGGCGTTCCAGAATCCCCGTACGATCAAATGGAATCAGGACCATCCTATGAAAATAATGCCAGCTTCGACCCAGCACCGGAACAACAACAACAACAGGAAGAAGTAAGAATGATTTTCAAATTCGGACGTTGCAGAAAGTTTTCGATTTTTGCGTCGAATTTGCGTTTTAAAGCTTATAAAACGATTTTTAGGCTCCACCTCCGCCTCCAGCAGAAACTCCTCAAATATCCATTCAAGTTGGCGAGACTCCAATTGATCACAAATCGTATTCACAGCCACCGTCTGTGGAATTACGGTAGGTTTTTAGGGTTTAAAGCTCTCTCTCTCTCACTCTCTCTCTCTCTCTGTCTTTCTCTCTCCCTTTACTAGTCTCTCTCACGTGCTTTCTCACTCTCTCGCTCTCTCTCGCTCTCTCTCCTATCACTCAGATCCTCAATGTTACTCTTTCAGACTCGTCGCGTCCCCTGGCCATCCGATGCCCACGGTTACTGTAGGTGCACCACCACGACCGGTACGTAGCAATTTAATACCTTACAAAAAGCTGTCTATTTGTCATCGTCGCAACACTAATTTCTTGTTTTTAGCCCACCATGTACGCCGTCAAGACGATACCTACCGAAAAGGTTTACACGTAAGCTTTAAGGTTTTCGGTTTTAGGTTTTTTTGCAAATTTTCAGCTTTTCGGAGCGTATCAAAACGTACTGATACCAAAATTGACAGTTCCAGCCAGTTTCAAAGCTCATTTATCCAAGAAAAGAAAGAAAAATGAACCCAAAACCCGGGTTTTTCAGCTTTTCTCGAAATATGGGAGGGAGCCGGAGATCGGGGAGCCGCAACCATGCGAAGAAGGAACCCCTGGATCCGAATATGGTTGAGGAAGAGGTTGCGAGGTCGGTTTTTATGTGGTTTTTTTGCGCTTCTCTAATTCACACTTAATTCATTTTACTTCCGGCTCCTATCTGCGATTCTTTTTCCTCTCCTTCCGGACCTTAATTCGCGTCTTGGTTTTTCAGCCGAACTGATCCGGAAATCGACTTTTTCTTATTTGTCGACAAATTTATGATTTTTCGGGCTACAGTTTTTTAATTACGTTGCGTCACTGATTTGGGAATAACATAGTTTTCATCCTTTTAAATGGCGTAACCGGCTTAGCATCTGTTTCTTTTTTATCTAGCCTAAACGGTTGCTCAGGAATGTTTGGTGGTTTATTTTAAACATGGCGTAACCGGTTGAGCTTCATTTTAAAATTATTAAAAATTTTCAAATTTGAGCTTGCTAACCGATTACGCTATGTAAATATTCCACAGTAATTTGTTAGGTTTTCTACCGTTTCAGGCTCAATTTTTTTCATGCTCCCTTTTCATAGCTTTTCCCCTTCCCGCCCAAATGCCAAGTTCATCGTATCCCCCGCCGGAATCTTTTGGGGGGTGCGGTCCTGCTATTGCTGAGTGGGGAGCTGTTTTGGGGGTGCTTTTGAGCGAATAGAAGAAGCCTGAATTTTCAGGTCTCGCACCGAGCGATTGCCCGCCTTGATTTTTCGATTCAAAACCGGACCATCCACCCGGTCCCGGGGGGGGGGCGGGGGGTGGAATCGGATCGTCCTCATCAGGTCCCGCCCATTTTTTGCTCAAAAAAACCCGGAAAGCTCTTGCTTTGGCATAACGTTTTGGTGAATGGCAGATTAAAGGGACCAGGAAGTAGCGTTTTTAGGAGGTTACTGTACTTTAAAGGCACTTGCAAGTCAAACTTTTGCGGTGGTTGCGGTACGCTAAATGTCTGCATCAGGTCCCGCCCCCACTTCCGCCCGGTTTTCGCCTGGCGTTTTGGCGGATGGCAATTTTAAAGGGACTGGGAACTGTGATTTTTGTGGGTTTTCCGGACTGATATAGTGGGTATTACGACAATGCTAATTAGGCGCTACTAGACCGGTTTAAAGACGCCTGCAAGCAAAATTTCCGCTGATTAGGGTGCTTTAAAGGAACCTGTAAGCCAAGCTTTCCAGGGCTTCCCCCACTTGAATCGTCTTTATCGGATCGGGCACATTTCGCGGCAAAAAAGTCCTGAAATCCCTTGTTTTGGCATGGAATTTTCAATAGAGGGACATTTTAAAGGGGTCAGGAAGCGTGAGTTTCGACGATTTTCTTCCGAAACCACGATCTGATGCTTCGAATGCTAATTGCTTGGAAGTTACCGTGGTTCAAGGGGTCCGAGGAATTTGAATTTATGAATTTGTGTGATTACTGTATCTCAAAGCAACCTACAAAGGAGCCCGACTCCGACGATTTTTAAGCTCCTTGATAAGTGATGCCAGAAATTTTTTTTTGCGTGATTTAATCTCGAATTCACAAAAATCGAGAAAACCCCCCACAAAAATCCAGTCTCTTCGCCCCGGAGATCCACAACACACAATAGCCAATAAAATCGACTGAGAGGCGGGAGAGGCTGTGAGCATTTTGCGCTTTCTCGTTTTTCCACCTCCCCACACTCTGCATCTTGCCGTCGAAGAGAGAAAGATTTTTCATGCAGATTAAACAAGAAAATAGCCCTGCTTTTCTGGCTGCGATGAAAAGGGCTATATTGAAAAGATTTTGCTTTTATTTTTAAAGCTTATTTAAATCAGCCTAAGCAAAAGCAAAGCAAGCTAAGCCTAAGCCTCCGCCAAAGCCTAGACATAAGCTAAGCCTAAGCTAAGCCTAAGCCAAAGCCTCCGCCAAAGCCTAGACATAAGCTAACAAGGGAAGTGCACGACCGGCCCACGAGAAATCGACACGAGACATAGTGGATCTGATAGAATTGGACACGGAGATTCCGAATCTGTAATCAGAATTTGCTAAATAAAACGGAGAAAAAAGTTATGAAGCATCAAAGTTGGCCAATTCGCCAAAAACGGTACCTTTAAAGGCCCGTAAAAACCGGGGGAACGGAATTGGGAGAAAGAATTAATACTCTTGTTCAGCAGAAAAGCGCTTCGAATGAGCTGTAATACGTAGCATTTGCAAACAATTCACTGAAAGTTTTTTTGGATTCACGGGCAAGGGTATGGCCTGCACATAAAGAGATTTTCGCGAAATCATCGTAAACATGGTAAGATAGCCATTCGAAAGTGCTTTTTCTGCTGAACAAGATGCACTAATGGGTTGTGGCAAATTTCCATTCCCTGGGCCTTTACAGGCCCATAAAAGTCCAATTTTGGGCGATTTTACCAACCTTGAAGCTTCATAACTTTTTCCCGTTTTATTTAGCAAATTCTATTACAGATCGGAATCCCCGTGTCCGATCTTCAGATCCACTATGCTCGTGTCGATTTCTCGTGGGCCGGTCGTGCACCTCCCTTGTAAGCCTGCTAAGCCTAAGCTAAGCCTAAGCTAAGCCTAAGCTAAGCCTAAGCTAAGCCTACGCTAAGCCCAAGCTAAGCCTAAGCTAAGCCTAAGCTAAGCCTAAGCTAAGCCTAAGCTAAGCCTAAGCTAAGCCTAAGCTAAGCCTAAGCTAAGCCTAAGCTAAGCCTCTAAGCCTGCTAGCCTAAGCTAGCCTAGCTAAGCCTGCCTATGCTGCTGGCCTAAAGCATGTAAGCCCAGATTTAAACTTTGATCTCCCGGAAACCTTCCGGGTTGTTTTTCTCGACTCCCTCCGGCCCTCTCTAGTAGGGCTTTTTGACCTTGACCAGCCACTCAAACCTTTCGGATGTTCCTACCCGATTTCCGGCCTCGGATCTCGGAAATTTTCGATGATTCTCTAGGAAAAACTATTCTAACTCCTTGCTTTGCAAAAACTAAGCTTAGCTCTCCCTCCCCCCCCCCCCCCCCTCCTCTCTCCCCCTCCCCCCCTCCCCCCCTCTCCCCCCTTTTCTTTCTCTCTAAGCCTAGGCGGTTTCTCTCGCTCTCTCCCTCTCCCTGACTATCAAATACCTTCTCTTGTACTTTCTTCTCCTCCGTTCCCTACCAGATAGGAAAAACACAAAATGATTTGTCGGTGATTTGTCGCACCGGCTGATGATTTGGATGCATTTTTCTCGCCGAGCTGCTGCTCCTCTCCCAGTTTTTGTGTGGAGAAGTATGGGAAATGGGAAAAATTGGATCGAGCTTTTGTGGCAGAGAGCGAGAGAGAGAGCGAGAGAGAGTGAGAGAGAGGGAGAGAGCAATTAGGGGCTCTAAAACGAAGCACTTTCCATCTTCCGCCTTCCGGCTGGGCACTTGATAATCGATTTCGGGCTTCTCCCTGGCAAATGGGCAAACAGATCTTGCGGATCTATCCGATTTAGCTGCTTGCAGTTGGTGCTTTATGGAATCTGCTTAGGTTTTGTTATGTTGTTTACTCTCTCTCTCTCTCTCTCTCTCTCTCCCCCCCCCCCCCCCCCCCCCCCCCCCCCCCCCCCCCCCCCCCTGTTTCTATACCTTCAAAAAACCAAACATTTGCTATTCCCGGCCCCATTTCATTTTTCCACTCGGCTACAACAATCGCTGCTGGGGGACGCGTTTGACATTTTTATGGGTGAGCCGATATCGGGGGAGGCAACATTCCCGCTCGGGGTTTTGCTGAATTTATCGACATGTTTGTGTTGGATTTAGCGATGGGGATTCTTGATTTTTGGTGTTTTGGGCTTGGGCTTCGGCTTAGGCTCAGATTAAACTTAGGTTGAGCTTAGGCTTAAGCTTAAGCTTAGGTTTGGGCTTAGGCTTATTTATTCATTGTCTTACCAGATGGTTACAGTCGCTTCGCGACTGCAACCATCTGGCCTTCGGGCTACCCTAAATGTCTCACTCCACCACATCCTTTCCCACCTCCATCAATACCCCAGTTGGACACCGAGGTGCCAAACAAAAAGGCGAAATCCACAGAACACAAGCTGCGTCCTTTCAGCAGCAGTTTCCAATCCAAACAAATACGACGCCAAGAAGTGGGGTCTTCCTGTAGACCTACAAATCAGCTCACTACGCCAGAAATGACGTCAGGAAGTAGAAAACACAAGAAGAAAACCCAATTAATGTGTTAGAATGTATTTAAAGATAATGAGAATAGTAATTGAGTTTATTTTTACAAAGTTCAGGATAAAAATGATAAAGCGTTAGTAAGAATGGAACGGGTAGAGATCGGGGAAGGGAGAACGGGGGAAAACAATGGGGGAAAACAATGGGGACGAGGGGGGAAATACGGGGAAAAAAGGGAATGTGGGAGACGGGGCCAAATTTAACGCCTGAAGGCGCGAAAATAAAATCAACAACGGGGCAAACGAATTCGGGGTCAGAGGGAGATACCGAGTACGCGAATAAAATAGTAGGCGAATAAATTTTTGAGAAAGAGAGGAACAGTATTTGGAAAAGTCTGAATGAAAACACAAAAGACGCAGAAATTGATGAAATTTCTAAGCGGGCACGTAGAGTAACATTTTACAGGAAAAGGGAATCAAACAGGGGATTTTACACACACATATTCCAATCTTGCACAAAAATCTGGGAAAATCCTTTCCTTCTTTTTTTCGCACATTTCTCGGTAACAGTAGTGGACGCTCCTTGAAGGGTCGTCAGTAGTTGCGGCGCGTACCGGATCTCCTCTGGCTCTTCCTAACGATGACTCCCATGGCGCTGGTCGTAGCGCTTCTTTCCATCCTTGTTTGGTGATGAGTAGGGGCGGAAACGGACATCAGCTCCAACTCGGCTCCCCCCGGGGAATTTCGCTGAGACAACTCTGGGCTGAGTACTCAAAACGCGACGGCTGATGGCTCGGGGATGAGCAAACGCTCTGGGATGAGCGGGGAAGCGGGCAAGACGGTTCGGCCCCCAGTTGGACACCGAGGTGCCAAACAAAAAGGCGAAATCCACAGAACACAAGCTGCGTCCTTTCAGCAGCAGTTTCCAATCCAAACAAATACGACGCCAAGAAGTGGGGTCTTCCT